TGACTGCTACCCAATAGGACAGATATTTGTTTGAATGAAGACAGAAACAGATACATAAATACACAGGTATTCCTTTAAAAAGGTGTTAATAGTTGTCGCATTTGAGGAAACCAACCCTACATTTCTGTCTACCCCTTTCCGTCTAAGCTAGAGGATGTGTGTTTAGAGCCTACAGCTGGCCTTGCCTGACCTCTGACTGCTCAGCTCCCTTGAAGAGGATCAGCCAATAGTCTTCTGAGAATGCTGTCAAATACCACACCCTGGTCTGCGTATCCAAAGGTGCAGGAAGTGGTGTGCCCAGAGCCTGGGTTATTGCGTCATCCTCAACATGCTTGGATGGACAGAGCGTGAGTCACTCAGCACCATACATAGCTCTTCACCCCACATCTCCTGCCTACCTAGCAGGGCAGAGGACTTCTGACACATCCATCCACGCTTCCAAACCAGTGCTAAATTTGGAAAACAGCAGGTCATCTGGATAAAAACAGCTTCAAGCACTGCCTATCAATGACTGTCCATCAGATATAAAGGCAAAAGAAGTTGAAACCAACACACGAAAAGTAAGAACTCTTGCTCTCCCAAGGAGAGACAGAAGGCACAGGGGGGAGGACTGTAGAACAAACTGGCTAAGGCACTGGTTGCCCAAAAGGAATCCATATCAGAGTGGCCTGGAAAGGTTATTAAAAATACGGACTGCCAGCCCAGGAGATCTGATTCAGTGCCTATGCGTGGACCCCTTAACCTGATGAGCCAAGTTCAGGAACTGCTGAGTTAAAGCACTTGGGTTAGAACAGTGCTGAGTCAGTAGACCAGCTCTCACTAGAGCCCCAGGAATGACTACCTTGTCGAGCTTTATGAGCAAGGAGGAGATTTTGAAAATTATATATATAAATTCTAATTGTGAATGTTCCCTAAAACTGGTCCTTTGTCACCAAGTTCAAATTTAGGAGTTCATTCCCCACCTCTGACCAACCACCACCTACTTCTATGTAGATATCTTGCATCTCTACTTTCAGCCAAAACCCATCCATCTTCCCTAAATCACCTAAACCCAGCTGCCAATCACGGCTTCAAATTCCGTTTCTCAAATCAACCCTTCAATTTACCTTCAACACTGGCTTCCTGTTCCAATTTCTGTTGACAGTACCACCTCTCAAGGCATCTCGAGTTAAATCCTCAGTCATCTTGGACTCTCTAAGTCCAGTGCCCTCCATATCCAAACACTTTAAAACACTGTCGATTTTCCTTTTATAATAACTCAGAAGCATTGCCTTCCAACCAATTCCCATTAACACTACTCTTATCCAGGCCCCCTTGGATCCCTGTGACAGCCACTCATGGTCCCTAAACTCCCACTTCAGCCTAACTTACAAGATTAACCTCCCCCAAATCCAACTTTGACCATGTATTTCCCTTGCCAACATCCTGTCATAATTCTCCATTACCTGCAGATAAAGTCCTAACACTAAACTTGGCCAGGGAGTCATGGTCCCTAAGTGGTCTGTCCTTAACCTATCATTCAAATGACTAATTTCATACTTGATCCATCTCCTGTAGCAAAGTGGACCTATTCAAATTGCCCCAATGTGCCCTGCAACTTTCTGTCTCTTGGCTTATCTCACATCTACCACTGGGAAAGTCTTTCTCTTTCTAGCTCTAAAATCACGGACATCCTTTAAGGCCTAAGTTCAAGATCTCCCTGTGGAGCACTTCCTGATGGCTACCACCTGACAGCTACCCTCCCAGAATCCGCCCAGCACCCTGCAACATAGGAGCCTTTCCTAAGTAAGGGTGTGTCCTGTCCTACTTTCCCTTTCACCCTCTGCTCTCTGCCCCACCCCCGGAAGCTCCCAGGGCACTTTATGACCGACCTCTCCTTGACAGTCTGGCCTCTCCACTGACTGCCTGGCAACATCTCCCTAAAAAGAGCAAACCTTTATTCTTGCACAGAAGCAATACAGGTTCATTGCTAACATTTTAGAGAATAAATAGAAGAAAAAAATGTTTTAAATCTCATATCATTATACTTCTCAGCTCATTATAACTTTCACCTATGAATCTACCATCTCTTCTTATGCATATGTCCACATATTTTTTACTGGTGTTTTTGACTCCTGAACACTTAAACTTTTATATATATATATATATATATATATATATATATATATATTTTTTTTTTTTTTAAAGATTGGCACCTGAGCTAACATCTGTTGTCAATCTTTTTTTTTCCCTTCTTCTCTCCAAAGCCCCCCAGTACATAGTTGTATATTCTAGTTGCAGGTCCTTCTAGTTGTGCTATGTGGGACGCCACCTCAGCATGGACAGAGGAGCGGTGCTAGGTCCGCGCCCAGGATCCGAACCAGTGAAACCCCGGGCCGCAGAAGTAGAGCGCGCAAACTCAATCACTCGGCTGGGGGGCTGGCCCCAGGTTAAACTTATATTTGTCATCTAGTTGTCACCCCTAACAAAACCATATTAGACTGAACTCTTTTAGGAACATGAATATGCTTCTCCATAATCCCCACAGTGCTCAACACAGTTCTGTACACAAAGTAGGTGACTAAGACGTTTAAAGCATATGTTCACTCAAAAAAATATCTGGGGGGGTGGCAGTGAGTAAATGGTTATAAATGCATTGTCCAAAATAATCTATGTAAAAACCTGCTACACTTAGATAATGTCTTGAAAAGTGCCTCAAAATTTATGCAACAAATGTTTTAAATATACAAGAACACTTCATAATATTAAGGACCCTATTGTTAATCCTGTCTTAACAGATACTCATTCCTTAATTTAATTTGCTTTATAAACCTGATATGTAACTAAAATGAAGATCACCCTATATATAAATGTGAATTCAGATGAAATTTGGTGGCGGGGGGAGAGGTGGGAAGAAAAAGCAAGTTAGTCACTTCCTTTTTTACCTAAACTTTCAATCTGCTTCTCTAGCAACAATTCTGGTTTGAACCAAGATCTTAAAGTCTAATCATCTCAGAAGGAAATCATGCTCCTTAATACAGTGACAAAATCCAAGATCATGAACGTGTTCATTCTTTTCAGCTTTCCAGAAAACGTTTGTATAACTCTGCCATTTTCACTCAGAATGCAAGACTATTCAACGTAAAGAGTAGCATTTGTCAGCTTCCAACTATAGCTGTTCTACGGTTTAGGCAAACACCATAAGTGAAAATAAAGACTTCTGCCAGTTGAACTGAAGATCCTATATCTAGAAAGTAATGTAGGAAATACAGTCTAATACCCCAAAGACCAACTATTATTATTATTCCCATTTTACTAATGAGAAAACTCAGTGAAGTAAAAAAAAACAAAAGTAAACTGAGGATGGATAGATCACCACAACAAAATAACCTCCTCTTTTTTATACTTAGAATATGATCCAAGTTACCAATTGTTGCTTCCTATGAATATATACTCTTAATGTAATACATATCTCAATCTAGGATTCTTCATCTAAGGATGCCTTGGAAACAAATTTACGTTGATTTCTAAGTCAGCTTTTCAGATAACTCTCAAGATCTCTTCAGAGGATAACACACCCCTTTTTGCTTCCGAATAAAACTCCAGCAATCGCACATTTCCTCCAAGTCTGCAGCTTCCTGGCTCCATGCCCCTTGCTTCTGCAGCGCTCCCCTGCACTCTGTGACTCAGGTCCACCGGACAAAGCCAGACACAAGCACACACAGGATAATACTCAGGAAGGGTGCTCAGGAAGAGTCTAGGCTGCAAACTCAGTAAGGCTGAGCTTTCCTTTTCCAAATTCTTTTAATTTTTTTTCCTTGACTCTGCTCCTGTCACTGGTATTCAAACCCAAAGCCCATCACTTATAAGCTTGATTCCTTCCTTCCCTAATCACATGCCTGGTGGGTGAGGTGCCACTGCGCTCAGGGGGGAACTAACTCGGCGGTTCTCACTTCTTCTGCTTTGACCAGGGCTGGGTTTTTTGGGTTTTTTCTTCTTCTTCTTCTTCTTCTTTCAATAAAGGCCTTTTCATGTTTGTTTCTCAGGCCTTTCCCAAACACAAAACTGTCACTGTCCCCTGCTCCTTCCAACTCTAGGATATCAACTTCAAACCTCTGTATCAACCAAGTCAGCGTTTGTTAGGAACTTAGGTCAATTTATGGCAGGCCGGGCCGCATTTGAGAGATTCAAACTCTTAACGCAAAAACGTTTATCTTTTCTGAAAAACTGAAAAACAAACACGGAACAGGGCAAAAACCCACTCCTCCCCAGCGTTCCTTTCACGTCTTGGTTCAGTAATGAGAAAAGTTAATCCACTCCCCAGTGCAACAAGGGCAGCCTCCTCCCGGTCAGGCTCACCTAGAACATTCACTGCATCATTGCATCCAAGCCAGACTTGGTTACTGAGGCAACTAAGTTTTTCTTCCCAAAGGGTCACAGGGAAACACATCCCTCGGGATCCCCTGGTAACCGTCCACCGATAATGCTGGGGAACCACAACAGCAAAAGACTCGCTTTCCAAGGCTGGTGCTGGCCGCCTCCGCAGGCAACGGCGAGGGGTGCGGGGGGGGGGGGGGGGGGG